TCCTGGTCTCCTGTCAGGGAACTATGAAGTTTTTTATCTAGCCTTTTACTACAAGCAACAGAGTTCTTGGGATGTGCTCAGACTGGGGATGCTGGTGAGAACCGCCTCTGTGGTGTAATCTAGTGGGTAGAACTGAACGTCCATGGTTCATTCCCAAACTATTTTAGCTGGCTTGCACAGTAAAACCGACATAAGTCGGGATTAACGCGGACATGAAATAATCTTTAAGGTGTGAAGTGATGAAAAAGGTTCTGTCTCACAGTCCGTGAACCACATTATTTGCCGTTCCTCTCAGGTCTTCAAAGCAAAAGCCTTAAATAAGGAGAGTTAGACCTTCCTGTTGTTCAGGCTCACTGGAGCCCCTTTCATATTTATGTGGAGTTGTTTGTATTAATCAAAATTACATTATTACAGACTAAACGGTAGTCTACCCATTTTTTACACATTGTGTCTCACAGTCCCTCTGGATTTTCTTCTGGTTCAAATAAGTTTAGATTTTCCTGTTGTTCAGGCTCACTGGAGCCCCTTTCATAGTTGTATGGAGTTGTTTGTTTTTATCAATTTTTTTATTCAGAGACTAAACGCTAGTCTGCCCCTTTTTACCCATTCTCACCAAGTAAGGACAGACTTCATACATTGGTTGATTGCCTGTCTCAGTACTCCGATGGCAGGTGTCATTGGTCACATTTTCTGGTTATTATATTGTTTAGACCCGTGTGTGCTTTAACTGGCGAGTAAAACCGGTGTCACGCCGTTGTCAACAGTTTTTCAGTTACAGTGTGCTGTGGGACAAATCCCTGATGTGATGCAAGTATGAGGTATTCAGCACGTTGGTGAAATCTACAAACATGGGTATGGCATATCAAACAAACACAGGAACATGATCATGGTGGACCGGGACTTGAACCCACAATCATAAGTGCCTGGTCCGCCATTAGACACATAATGGTATATGGCGATTTCTGTGTCCACCTTCCCCGATTACTTGTTGCATCCAGCTTCTTTACAACAACAACTGATACATCGGTATGACTTCTTTGATTGGCATTCTAGAAGTAGGGTAGATGAAGAATGAGGACTATTTTTATGGATATACAACTTCTTTATTCTGTATAGGCGACGTTTCGACATAGATTCTAATGTCGTTGTCACTTGCATCCACATAGCACTGGTTCATTGTTTCAGGAAACAATAAACATCAAAGGTTAAACATAGAATGCCAAATCCACATAGAATGTACATCACAGGTTTCAAAGTTACAACCATTTCATATCTGCAAGCTCATGTGTCTCGGAGAACCTACAACATAAACAAAATGTACATAACAAACATACAGGACTAGAAAAGTTATTTTTTTCAACAGATAATTGTGCAATTGTATGTAAAGGCATTGGATAAATAAAAAATGTTTCACATAATTTTAAAATATGACATGCGAGAAAGGAATGGTAACTGACAACTCTTTATCTTAATATCAAAGCTGCTTTGAGTTAGGAAATATATTTACATATTTTAGATGGGGACTTAAAGATAACTCGCTCTGCTCAGAATATCTGCTCTCACGTTAGAAATAGAAAGTGTTCGTTATGCTGATATCACTAGAGACTGCAGATATTGTAGATTGTAGACTCTCTGAATTTAATTTTATCAATGATTAGTTTCATTATCTGCAAATATATCCAAAGTAATAGATTTAGATATTTACTGAATATGAATTTTCACAAACCAAGTGAAGATGAAATGAAATAGTTGCTAAAATGTAACAGTATAACTGTATAATCATCGCTAAGTATATCAAATCCTGCTTCAAGGCAATCTCAAGCCCCAATAGGCTGGATCCCGTTAGTTTAAACCCAATCACACTGAACCCCCGTCAATCTGAACCCATGCTGGTCCGAACCCCGTTAGTCTGAACCCTCGTCAATCTGAACCTCGTTAATCTGAACCCCTGTTAACCCCCCAGCCCCGTTAGTCTGAACCCCTGTGAGTCCGAATCCGTCTGACGCCCCGGAGGGCCTCCCAATTTGTCTGAATCCATGGCACTCCGTACCTCGTCAATCCGAACCCCGTTAGTCTCAACCCTCGTCAATCTGAACCTCGTTAATGTGAACCCCTGTTAGCCCCAACCCCGTTAGTCTGAACCCCTGTGAATCCGAATCCGTCTGACGCCCCGGAAGGCCTCCCAGTTAGTCTGAATCCATGGCACTCCGTACCTCGTCAATCCGAACCCCGTTAGTTTGAACCCTCGTCAATCTGAACTTCGTTAATGTGAACCCCTGTTAGCCCCAACCCCGTTAGTCTGAACCCCTGTGAGTCCGAATCCGTCTGACGCCCCGGAGGGCCTCCCAATTAGTCTGAATCCATGACACTCCGTACCTCGTCAAACCGAACCCCGTTAGTCTGAACCCCTGTCAATCCGAACCACATCGGTCTTGACACCCTGGGTCCCCATGGTCCTTAGTATGGTGATCAACCTTCAGTTGCTGGTGATCTATAGCCCGTTCTTGTATTATACTGTTGTCTCTCGTGATATATTTTTATGATAGCGTACTGTGATATTCTAGTAGTTTTACTGTCCTTCGATGACAGGTTTTTACGTTATACATTTATTGATTTGAATATTGATATCAACTGTTCACGTCACGATATGGCTGCACTATTGCCGATGTGACGTTAAATTTTAGGATGCAGTATAAATTTAATAACTCATCTTACCTTTGCAGCAACACCTGTACAGTTTATATCCGGAGAGAATAAAATGAAGTTAAATAGAAGTAATGTACAAATATCTGATACATTATTGATAATCAAACTGTTAAAAAAATGTTTCAGTTATAAATTCTATATCTATAATAGTTATACCATTCTTACACTAGCATTGTATGGTGAATATAACACAGCTTCGTAAGGCAAACATGCTATAAGATTGGCATATATCATCACGAATGTGCCTAATCAGCATTTATGAATGACAATAAAGGTGAGAGCATAAATAATGACTGAAGCAGAAAGATCCACAGCTGAGAATGGCAATAACATGAACCCAGAAGTGTCTACAGCCTTGTAACGTCACAAGAAGACCGTTATAAAAATGATGCAGTTTTCTCGGGTATCAGTCTTTTTATCAAATTTGGCAATTCTGGCAAATATACCAGTTACAAGGGCAACCAACATTATGGTTAAAGCCTTCCCACACCACACAGTAGTGAGGGATATTTCTAACTGCGGTGTTGAACAATGATCGTCCCAGTATGGACATACTTGCTTGTTATACGTTGACTAGGGTGTGTACAGTTCAGGTATAGAAGCTGTGAAATACTGAAAAGGTATGGTGTAGAAAAGCTGGTGAAATATTGACGATAGAAAAGACGGATATAAAATTCATTCTGGGGTTAGAGGATAGTGACAAAGGGAGACAAACGCTGGAGTAAGTGTACAACAAATGAAGGATGACATTACTGATCGTTGAATGCACGCATCTTCTTCCATGACTTCACACACAAACACTTCACTCATGATGTTCTCTGAAGGCTATCAAAACCTGAATATTCAAACTGTGAAAAACATCGTATGTATCCAACATACACAGTGACCGCAGTTTGGTTGTAAAGGAATATACAACTTGCTGGGAAATATACACAGAATGACCTACATCTAAGTAAGTATTTCCTTACACTTCAAGCACGAAATTTGTTGCAAATTGTTGCATAATTGTTGCAATGCAGCCGTTCGTATCCATTCACACATTTGAATATTGTTTGCTCATTCATTTGAAACTACACATAAAATCATACCAAAATATATTTCGCACAGACTCCATGTGTTTCTATGTGTATTTGATATGTCCGCTCCTGCATATTAAAACTAAAATATGTACATTATTTTTTGCTTTACGATACTAGAACAGCTAATGTCTTGTTTCCGAACACCATTAACAATTCAATAACGCGAAAACTCTACACATTACACATGTTTATGGCCTGTTTAATTTGTTTTCAAAAGCAACACAAAGTACAACTTACCTGCAGTAGCACGTGTGGTTGATGGATCAGCTGGGAAATGGTAGCCTCCATTAAATATGTCGATGTAAAACCCATATACAGCGAATCTGTTGGTGGAGCGGACCAAGTAACTGCCGTATAAACAAGTTGTTCCCACTTTGTAGTCACTGCCAGGGATGTCCTCCCAGTCCACTGTAGCATTGGTCATGTCAAAACTAATTACTTCAATATCCATCACGTGTTGTTTAGTCAGTATAGATAGACACCATGCATAATCAACCTGTGCATTGTTGATGAAATACTTATCTGGAGTTACAGCAACAAACGCATCTTTTCTACACAAGGTTGCAATGGCAGGTCTTGTGGTATTAAAATGCAGTGTCTCGTTAAACAGGAGGGTTTGACGATACACACGGTTGTCACCAAGAGAGAAATGTAGATCCATTGTTCAACATAATTTCAGTTAGGCTCTGGTTACTAACAACTTGCTGGTATGAAAGTTTCCTGAAATATGGAGCGTCATGTGTAGATACAACAAATTCTGTCCCGTGATGTTGTACTGGTAATAGTTGTGCAAAGGCTGTGACATCACCTCCATTCATTCCCCCACTGAATACAGCTACAGCACGTGTTGTGTTGACGACAGTTCCAGTCAGGTCATAGGCGCTCTTCAATGTGAAGGTCTGATACTCATCTAGACTCACGTGAATCGTGTCTCCGTCGTAGTATGTCATGTTGTCGTAGGTGACGTTCCCCTCCAGCATCAGCGTTATGTCCACGTCCGTCTTCTGGTTGTAGTTAGCAATCACTAACACCACGTGGCCAATGGAAACCAGACAGGTGGACACTACATACCTGGAACCGAGGGCCGAGATCGGGAGGGGAGAAAAGATGAAATTTCCACTGTATCCGTAAATGTTCATGTCCTTACCAAAGGCGTGGATAACCACAGCCTTGTTTTCCACACCCTCTGTCACTATCACAGAAATACTTAAAAAGGTAGGAGTAGCGTTGTATGGTGCTACAGTCCTTGTGACGTTATATCCCAGCTGTGGATGATCAATCAGGAAGAATCCCCCGCTTTTCCCTGCTACTCCTCTAACTTTAAGAATGTTTGCAAGCAGGTAGCTCACACCTGTAAGAAATAAAGATGGTTTGTTAAGTTTTGATAAGAACATCGTCAATCCTCACGATTGACGGGTTCAACGTATCACTCGAGAAAGGTTCATGTTTAGTTGAGTTATACATAACACAAACTAGCTATTTGCTGATATGATAGCCATCTGTAGTAATGAAACTGATTGCCAAACGGCGATAACCATTCTGCCATGATTTCTTTTGCATATAACACATACACAACGATCCAGATGACATTGACAAAAAGAACAATGCCGTGAGTACCTTTAAAGTCAATGTTATCTAACTCAGTGCCGAAATCATGGCAGCCTCAAAAAAGCGATCTGACTATGAAACAAAACATCATCGCAGAGTTTTGTAATCCTCTGTAAGTCGCAGTGCCATTGTAGCTGAACGTCATTTAGAACATAGTAAATGGCATTCATTTAGAGGACGACGTGGTATTTTGGTGATGCAGTTGTCATATAGCGATCAGTGTTCAAATGTGGTAACACGTGCCGTATCAAAATTGTATGAACACGTCATTATGAAAACATGCTCACTTGCATGTTTGCTGTTATTGATGGTGCCTACTAGCTCTTAAGCCGTGTGGATCATGAACAAGTATGTAATCAATCTGTACACAATGAGAACTTTAAGAAACAATGACTCGATGTTGTGTGTCTCTTGAGACATTCCTTTTCTTAAAGACTGAATCTGAGCATGTCGGTTCGAACCCCGGATGGGACTGGCAAAAGTACTAGAATCTGTACTTTACTAAGAACGTGTAATCTCACATATAACATGTGTTATCTACTTTACGTATTTCAAATGAAATAGATTCTTGAGCTGTATAGAATATGCAGTTTGTTACTATTCCCGTATATGTTCTCTTTCTTTTTGATTGGTTTACCTGGTTTCGGACGAATTATACCAAGTCAGTTTTGCTGTAGAAGAATTTGGCTTCTTGTTGATTAATTGCCTGATGTTATATGGACAGGAAAGTGATTGGTGCCGAACGGATCCTCGTGTACTTATGTGTGCACTGGGCGAGGTCGATAACAGTCATGGTTTGGTGCTAACTATCGTTGTTATTTAGAAGTTTAAGGTTATTTTGTTCGATCCAGCTTTAATTGGTTTATTTTTCCAATAGTATATGTTAACGACATATATTGTTTTATTTTGGTTTGTTACTTGGATACCACTGGTTTCTAGGTAAGGAGTAATTACGTTTATCTCTTTGAGGTTGATGTAATCGCTAACACGATAAAGCTTGCTAGACCAGGGCAAAGTTCGAATACCTGTTAGAGGTACTTAGAATACGTTTTTGTATTTATTTGTAGTTTTGTTCTTATTTTAGGATTTGGTTGAATTGGTTAGAATAGTGCAATTGAGAGTGATGTTAGGGTTGAAAATGTGTGCCACCCTGTTGAATGAATACGAATCCTGTGCGTATAAGGTATGACTTATAATAATAGTTAGAGTGGTGCTAACCAGTTTGGTATATATTCGTTGACCTGCTTTGGGATACTGACCAGGTTCTGTTTATGACCTGTAAGCCGAGCTGAAGGCAGACACAACAAGGACCATCTTTTAGGTATGACAGGCCCAGGGCCCACTTGCACACAACAATCTCAGCGCTACAATTATTGTAACTCCTTAAGATCGCGATCTTAGGCTTCGGCTACAATCGCCGTCCACTTGCACAAAGCAATTGCACAAGTTACTGTAAATCGAGTGAAACTTACAATTGGACCAGACCAATTGTAAGGAGCTAAGATCATTGTAGTCTGTGACGAAATGGCGTTCAAGTTAGTGTCTGTTTCGCGTAAATAATCAGCTTTACGTTGCTTTTATATTGCATAAAACTGTATGATTCGCCTCGACACTTCAACAATACGGAGAATGCACCACCGAGTTAAAGTCAGAAACATCGTTATTTGCGGTAGTGAACCACATAACTATCGAGTCGAAATCATTAAGTACTATTCCCACCCGTTTCAGTGTTGGAAGAAGTATGAAACAGCATACCTTTTTGATAATCAAGGAAAGGATAGTACCGAAGGTGTCTGCATGCGAATAGCAATGGCCGTGACATTTTCAATAACTCAAGGGGAGCTAATCTTAGGTTTTACGCAAGATGGGAGTAGTTTCCCTTGGCATATTTTGCCGTTGCCGTAGGGTCTGCCGTGCCCAATGTATTTAATGCTGTGACATCGCAGAACTCAACATATGTTTTTCGGTCACATTCAGGGGCGTAGCTTCCATTATGAAAAAAAGCCGGGGCTTACACATGATCGTTGCTAAAAAGGTCTAGAAAGCCCTCTAAACTATCTAAATGTAACGTTTTGCAACCTATCGGGCTTTCAAGAAAACACTGGCTTGTTACGTGCCTGACATTCGAGTCATTGATTGTGTCTTAGTTTATAATTTAAATAATCTACAATTCGGTAACGTGCAAAAACAAGTTACTTTCTCATTCTTAAACCTAAAGTTAAGTCGGACGCGTGACGAGGGTTTTTAATCTATGCATTATGCATTTTAAATATATTACAAGTATTCATCAAACAGGAAAATACACTTGCTGAGGCATTTGAAATTTGTGTGAAAAGGAATTTCACAATAAGAAAAAATAATTATCAACGAAATAGGGTTAAATAATTAACATATTGTGAATAAGTATTTAACAACACATACTACATTTAGTCCATAAATCAAGACACTTAGAATGTAGAAAAATATATGTTATCTTCCACGTAATCGTTTCCTTTAAAGATTTGTGGGATGTGTTTTCAAGAAAGGTGCGATTGGGGGAGGTATGTGTTGTGTGAAGTAATCAGTTCCACTTTGCATTTGCGCACTTGCGGACAAGTGTAGACAGGAGTCGAGTTTAAGAAATTCGTACCTCAACTGTTGAAGAGTTCGATCTTAGTGAAAAGATCGCGATCTTAAATCCATGCCGTCTTACAATCGCTCTAAGATCGGCTTTGTGCAAGTGGATTAGGGCAATTGTATGGTGATTGTAAGTTGATTGTAGGGACCTTAGATTGATTGTAACTAGGATTGATCTGTGCAAGTGGGCCCTGATGATCAAAGCACAGGACTTTCGCTCACCTATGTGACGCTTTACACTTATTCTTAGAGAACCGTAGACAGACGTGTACAAACAGCCGAGAAGGTTGGCGACAAAACGATACAACTGAATACAAATACGAACTTTGACAGGCATAACCATATTGCTATTCCTTTTGTAGTATATACTTGCATCACGCACCACGCTGACAGGCCATGTTATAACTGAAAAATACTGCTCAAGGCGGTGTTAAACCTAACTCACTTACTCACACAAAGAAGATACGGGTATACTCATACCTTCGTCGTTTTTTTGTTCATCAGTCACAGGGTTGTTTGATGCGGATGTGGAAAATGTTGATACATCTTCAGATGTTGAGTCCGGGAATTGTGTCAGAAAATATTTTGCGTCTTTAGATGCTCTATTCATATTTATTAGTCCCAGGTCCTCCCGAAAACAAACTAAATTTAGCTGTTATCGTCGTATAGTCTTTTAGTACTTTCAACAATACTCTGTATCTGATAGCTTGCGATGCATGCCATATTTGAATCGTGACCGAAACATATGGTATGACCAGAAATTATTGAGAATTTTAGGAATATGTTTAATTGGATTTTTAGTATAAACAACCTTGACCAGCTATCAAGTGCTTAGTTTCATTCAAGAGAGACAACTCCGTTAACCCTTTTAATTAGTTTGTGAAGAGCTATCCCCATTTGTTTACTTGCTAGCAGACGACATTTTCAGTGATCCTCAGTATGGATGATTTAGAGAAGAGGAAGATGATTTTAGAGTATTATAACAAGGACATCAGATCAACTAAAGTGATTTCAAGTAGAACAGGCATCCCTTTGTCCACTGTTTATCGTCTTTGGAAAATATTGCAAATGGATATGGCATTGAGCACCAGGGAGGCGAAGGAAGGCCCAGAAAATTGACTGCCGGTGACAGGAGGCGGCTTGGTATTCTTGTTTTTAAAAACAAACGAAGGCGTTTAGAAAATGTAAGGCTGGATATGATTGATAGAGGATGTGTGGCTGTCTGTAAGGAGACAATTAGAACTGAGTTGCATGCAATGGGTTGGTAGAAAAGTCGAGGAATTCCAACACCGATCATGAAACCTGAACAAAAAGAGCGAAGGTTGAACTGGTGCTTACAGCATAGAAATTTTAACTGGGACAATGTGATTTTCTCAGATGAAAGTTCTGTGTTGATTTTTCCGAATACACTGAAATTCTGGACCAAACAAACTGAAAACCTTTGTATCAGCGCCCAAAGAACAATCCGAAATTTAACGTGTTGGGTGGCATATCTGTGTTAGGGGCAAGGGAATATGAACAGTGAGCGGTACACAGATATTCTCGAGGGACATTTAACTTCCATCTGCTCACGTGTTCTATGGAAATGTTTGGATATTCCAGCAGGACAATGACGCAAAACATCGTTCAAAGCATTCACAGGCCAGGTTTCGGACCCTAAATATGACATTATTAGATTGGCCAAGGTATAGCCCTGACCTAAATCTAATAGAAAATGTTTGGGGACTTATGAAGGAAAGTGTCACTAGGAAAAATCTGACAAATATTGTTGAAATGGAAGAAGAGGTGGTCCGATATTGGGACAGCATGGACCACGACTTTCTAACTTCTTCGATCAGTAGTATGCCCAGCCGCATTGAAGCCTGCATTGCTGCCCATGGTGACTTGACAAAATACTAACTGTTCACCTGTCTTTGAATCTGGAGTTATGTTCTGCTAATATTCACATTTAATACGTGAGTAATGAGTGAAAAACATAAAAAATTGCAATGATCAAT